TGGCACCCCCGGCACGGGCACTGACCTCTCTCCCCGTTCTCTCCCCTCTCTCGGTGCCCGGCCAGAAAACGCAACCCGGCCTCCCCCCACGGGTGAGCTGCCAACCCCCCCTCTGTGTGTGCCCAGCCTCGCTCCTCGGTGTGCCCGTGTGCCCCAGACAGCTCTGCAGGGCCGGCTGTCACCTTGGCAAGGGGGGGCAGGTGGGCACCGGCGCGGGCCCTGCCCCGAGGAGGGGCAGATGGAGGTGCTGAGAGCAGCACGGTCCATCTCCTGCCTTCAGGCTTTCTGGGCAGTGCCCTCAGCATCCGTGTGCCCTCTGTGTGCCCCCCTCCCCCGGGGAATTCAGGGAGAGCAGGTGCCCCCCAAAAGCCCTGCTTTGGGATGGGAGCAGGGAATCCATCAGCGCTGCAGAGCCAAGGGCGGCGTGTCCCGAGTTGTCCCCACGAGGGCTCAGGGGGCTGTTGGGGCAGGGACGAGCCAATTTCCCTCTCTCCTGGTGCCAGGAAGAGGCAGATCTGTTTGGGGATGTTGTTACTGTTGTTCTTCTCTCGCCAGGTCCCCCCTCCAGCAGCCTGGCCAGGATCGGGGTGGTGGCTCTGAGCGAAGCCGCCGCGCTCGCAGCGGTTTTCTTGCTGTTCTACTGCAGGGACAAGCGAGGAGCTTGACTCAGAGCCTCTCGTCCAGCCAGTAATCCCAGAATCCCTGAGGTTGGAAAAGGCCTCCAAGGTCATCCAGTCCCCCCTGTGCCCCATTCCCACCTTGGCCCCCGGCCCAGAGCGCTCAGTGCCACGGCCGGGCCTTCCACGGGCACCTCCAAGGGTGGGCACTCCCCCAGCTCCCTGGGCAGTCCGAGGGCTCCACCCTGACAGATTTTGGGGCTTTTACACCAGCTGAGAGGCACAAAGGAGAGGGGGGGCCCTGCCCTGCTCTGGACCCAACCCCACGCTGGGGGAAGTGGTGGTTTGCAGACATTTCCAGGGAAGAAGCTCGGTGGGCACAGGAGGGGGAAGTTGGGGAGATGCAAAACTATTGGTTCCTGTTGCACCTCAGCAGTGGATCCACCTTGTGACGCTCTCCACCAGCAACCCCTTGCAAAGGGCTTTATTCCAGGTTTATTCTCCTTTCCCTTTTAGCTGTGGCCCACACAGTCAGACCTGCTGAGTTGTGCTGGGATTATAAAACACCCCAGAGTGGGTCAGTTGGATTTTACAGCCCTGCTGCCTCACCCAGGCCACCTCCACCATCCCCACACAGGACATTTCCACGGGGAAACAGGAGTTGCTGCGGGCAGGGGGTGGCTGAGCCACGAGAAGGGGCTGCCTCCTCCTCCTCCTCCTCCTCCTCCTCCCCCCAGCCAGAAATTCAGCTTCAAGTCCATCTGGAGAAGCTCAGCTGTTCCCCCAGAGATCAGTGGGGAAGATGAGGGGGGGAGATGCAGTGGGACATGGGAGGGGCTGCAAAACCCTCCCTGGGACAAAACCGAAAGTTTTTGTAACCTCTTGCAGAGCTCAGAAATAAAATTACTTCTCATTTTCCCCCCCCCACGTTGAACCCCTGCCCCCTGTTTGTCCCCAAGTGCCCACAGGCCCTTAGGAAAGCAGGACCACGGGGATGAGTTCCTGGTGTGGGAGCCCAAAATTTCTCCAGCCACCCTTGCCGGTGCTGCTGATCCTTCCCCTCGGAGTCACTCCCTGCTCTCACACCCAGCTGTGAGGTGGGATCCAGGGTCCCTCTCCCTTCTCCCAGCGCTCCAGGATCCAGCCAGGAGCCTTTAACCACCGTGAGCAGAGGAGGTTTCTTTTTCCCCTTCTCCGGGCACTTCCGAGCTGCTCGTGCCGCACCCACCGGAGGGGCTTGTGTGGATTCCTCAGGGCTGAGCAGGTGAATCCAGCCAGGATTTTGGTGTCCCATCAGCCAGGCTGGGCAGCTGCCCCCTGCCCTGAGAGAGGTTCAGGCCCTGGGCATCATCACACCGACATAAACCGTCGTGGTCTCCTGGGGGGGGCTCTGCAGCAAAGATTTTGGGAGGGGGCAAAGAGCTCAGTGAGGTGCCAGGGTGTGATGCCCAGCCAGGGTGAGGGGCAACCAGCCTTACCTGGGAGAGGGGGGGTTGTCCCTGCAGGGTGGGGGGGTCTGGAGGGCCGTGGGGGGCTCTGCCGGGGGCC